GTGGGAGGTGGATGCAGAGGAAGATTGGGCAGGGAGTAAACTTGGAAAGGGGTGCCATTGTTTAATTCCCATTTTCTGCAGCTCTCCAAAGGAAGGAAGAAGGGAGGGAGGGAGGAAGGGAAAGCAAGCAAGGAAGGAACCAAGGAAGAAAGGAGCCAAGGAAAGAAGAAACTGAGGAAAGAAGGAGGAAGGAAAAAAGGGAGGGAGGGAGGGAGGGAAGACTTAGGGAAGGAGGGAGGGAATGACAGAGGGAGGAGAGAAGGGAGGGAGGAGAGAAGGGAGGGAGAGGAGAAATTCCCTGCCTTTTTGATTAAACGTCCCGGGTCGGGCCTGCCCAGTTAACGAGACCGTTAATTAAGCCGAGCACGATTCAACTGACAGGAAGGCCCTGCGCCCCGCAGAGATGTTCTGGAAACCAAGTAGTCCAAGGCCCAGCGCCAGTGGGGCACACCAGCCGCGACGCCCCGCCTCTCAGGCTTCCACGCGGGCCAGGACACTCTCACCGCCTGGGCTCCGGGACCCTTTGAGCCGGCCACCCTGAGGGTTCCCAGAAAATGCACCCACCCCCTCCCCACCCACCCCACTCCCGCCTCCGCCATGCCTCTCGCATCCCTGCCCGGGTGTCTAGGCCTTAGTACCCATCACAGCCCGCCGGCGTCCACTTTGGCCCGCATGGGCTCACTCGCTCTCGAGGTTCTTGGGCAAACCCGAATTGCGGAGGCCAGAGGCTGGCCTCGCTGGGTCTCGCCGGAGCGCCACACCAGCCGCTCTCCTAGGGCCTCTAGGCGGCGGGGCCCAGCCTTCACGCCCGCTCCTACTCGGGGGCCTGATTCCTTCCGGCAGCGGGCGGTGCGCTGCGGCGCTGCGGGGCGCTGAGTGTGTGTGCGAGGCGCGGCCTATATTTACACCCCAAACAAAATAATTACACTTTTGTCGGAGGGGGAAAGCCAGTGATTAGGCGTAGGCTCTTTGCGGCAAAACAGTTTCTCAGTGGTACACCAGTATAATTTTTCACGGCTGGCTGAAATCAAAGAGGGGAGGTAATGAATCCGGCGAGCAATTTAAATTTACAATTTGTAACGCCGCCGCCGCCGCCGCGCAGACCCGGCCGAGAGCGCAGCTCGGAGGCGCTCGCTGCGTTTGTTTAATGTTAAAGCTGTGCTGGCTCTTGGAGGTGGGGTGGGGGGAGTATGCGTGTTGGGGATAGGAGCGGTAATGATCGAAGTCGGGAGAGAACGGGCTGGGTCGCTCAAGATGCCACCAGGAGAAGTGGGCAAAGGGCAGGCCTCTCCCGTCCCTCTAGCCACCCAGGCCCCCAGCGCTTCCCAAAAAAGCCGTTCGAAGAGAGGGGAGCCAGGAGAGACACTGGCCTCCAGAGAAGCCCCCCTTTTCTGCTTGGCTGCAGAATCTCCCAGGCCGGAGACTTCCGGTGAAGAATAGCAAGGTGCAAGTGAAACGACCTCTTCAACCCGCGGGAGGGTCGGCTCCAAACGTCCGGAAAAGCCCTCATTCCGGCCGCTGCCCAGTTTCCCCGGATAAAGAAGTCGAGAGAGGTACCCCCCACACCCCAGCTCAGCGATCCTCAAAAGTCCCACCCCGGCTAGTGTGCGCCTCCTCGCCCGTAATTAATTACCGAACTCAAGGGGGAATATGCAAACCGCATATTACTAACTCTACAGGGCTTAAGTGATTGGAAACAGATTATTATCTTGTTTGTCTTTTGTCTGTTTTACTTATCCCGCCGCCGTCTGTTGAGTTGTAATGTTGATACTCTTTACTCTAGGAGGAAGATTTTTATATAGTAAATTCCATCAACAGCTTGTATAAGTGACATTGCGTCTCCATGCATTACCCTGTTAAGACACAAGCGGTTTATTAGTTACATATAGGAGGGGATTTTGCTGCCTGGTCGCCATCTGTTAGCGCTTTTAGGGCGGGAATCGTCTAATAGCTGGTCTGCTGGCATGTTCCGATGCTGTGCACCGGGAAGGAGGTGGGCTAGAGAAGGCCGGGTGGGTTCTGGGCAGCTTGGCTGGCCCCAGGTCCAGGGAGTACTAGAATTGAGGCTGAGCTGTGAGGCCCCCAAGACAACTCTGAGGGGCTGCAGCAAGGGCAGGTAAGTTCCCCTACAAGAAATGGAAGGTCAGACCAGGGCTTCTCGAAGCAGAGTCCTCATCTCCTGCAACCAAACATTCAGCCTCAGGTAACCCACGCTCATCCCTACTCAGGGCTGCTCTCATCTTGTTCCCTCTTCCTTCTACCTCCCTGGCCAGCCACATGGTGGCTGGGGCCTGGCGGTGCATTGAAGCTCTCTTGGAAAGAAGGACAAGTGGGTCTGTCCAAGAGTCTGACACAGCTGGGTACGCAGGGCCCCAGCCACCATCATCAGGTGGGCAAAGCCAGGACTGGGAACACACACCAGACAGGGCACTTTGGATATTTTGTGGGGTTTGGGAGAGAACGGGTTCAGTGTGCCTAGTCTGGAGTAGAGAAGAAAGCTATCGGATGGAGGTTTTTAATGATCATGGAGTACGTGGTGGGGGTGCAAGTGTTTCCCCCACACCCCAAAATCTGCACAATGGACAATAAGGAGCATTCATCTCAGCACTGAGTCGGATGCTGGATTTGGAAGCTCCAGCAGAGAGGCCAGGAGAGGAGAACAAAAAGAAAGAAATGAAGAAAGAAAGTGAGGGAAAACCAAGAGAAAATGAAACAGAAACAGAACAGATTCTGAGCATAACAGAAAAATGGAGACAGAAAGGAAAACTGAGACATGGCAGGAACTCGGGAGAGACAGAAAAAGCCAGTGAGACAAAGACAGAGAAGGCAGCGCGATTTGCCTCTGCCGGGAGCCTGAGCACCTCTCTCCTCTCTAGGTTCTTATTTCTTTCCATCTCTGCCCTGCCAGAGCTCAAGGATCCTTTATGCCCCAGGCAGGCAGGGCCAACTGCTGCCAGAAACTGCAGTTTCATCTGGAGTGTCTCATGGCCGAGCCTAGGAGGCCAAGTGAGATTCATCCTGCCTGTTCCTGGTTGAGATGGGGTCTAACCAGCCTTACTACAATGCTCTGTAGACGCCTGTCCCCTGAAAAGCTAGCGGGTCAGGTAACAGCACCAACAAGCAGAAGTTGCCTGGGTTAGGGATTCCTTTTCCAGCGGACTGTCACCAGCACCATCAATTCCCTGTCCCGAGCGACACCACCTCCCTTAGAGACTCTTGGGAACAGTGTGGGGGACAGGTCTGAAGAGGAATGGGGACAAGTGGGCATCCCTGAGCCCCAACACAGGTACCCACAAATCCTGTTCCCTCAAGCTCTGAATCCACAAAGGTAAGTGCTGCTAGGAGTACATACACAAACACAAATACAAACATAACCCCACACACACACACAAAGCCTACAGGAGTGGAATAAACAAAAAACTACTCTTTACACTAATACACATGTGTGCAGGCACACACACACAGACTGGCACACAAACATAGATCTTCAAAATTCTGCACTCACAAACACACCCAACCCAGGTCAGTCTCATACACACAGGGTCTCAAGCACACATGTCCTTGCCTACACACAAACACACGCATTCAGATTGTTTAAAGTACACCTTCACATCAATGCTTACAAACATAGACACAAATACTCTTATGTGAATGCATGCATACACATGAAAACACCCTTACATTCATGCGTCCTCAAATAAGCATACAGACATAGGCACAGACCAACGAAAATAAAGTGCACACGGTGATAAACACAAACATTAGCAGAACCATACACAATTATAAACACACATATCCACACAAAAAAAATGCACACGCAGAAATGTACTCACAGGACTGATACTAACACGATAGACACAAAAAATGGAATTCTCAAACAGTAAGCATACACTAACAAGCTCAGGAACTACGCCCAAACAAACGTCGGCACAAACCCCTCTAGCTTCAGCCCCTGGGGCCAGGCCCTGCACCCTCAGCCACCTTTCCAGAAGCGAAACGAAAATCCTGGTTGCGCATTCCCGGCCTCCCCAACTTGGAGCCCTGGTGGCCACGCTGGCCCCGAGGGAAAGGAGGCCTGGTCCTTTCTCCCTCTCAGACCCACACACCCCCGCCTCACACACACCTGCCAGCAGCCCCCCCACCCCGCCCCCACTTAACACACACACACTATCTCTCTTCACACTGGGCCCCCTGCCGAGCACAGAACACACGTGCGCAGCTTCTCGAGCCTCCAAGGAGCAGACGAACTTGCACACCAGCCCGAACGGCGTGAATGCAAACAGTGTTCACACAGTCACTGGTGTCCCCGCCTCAGCGGTGCGACCCACTCACCACAGTGCCCCGACAGGCTGACCTGGAATCTGGAAGGCGCAGCGAGGAAAGGAGAGACGTGGTGAGTGCCACCTCCGAGCTGTCTGCGGGAAGACCCGTCCACCCTGAATCTCCCACTGTCCACATCTCCCTCAGAGCCCGGTGAGCAGCGCACTCAGGCCTGAAACTCTGGAGTTCGAGACCAAGCCAAATGGCACCCCTCCTCCTCCCCCACCTCCCCAATCTGGGCCTGGGACTGGGCCCGGGCTCGGCGGCCAGGCGGAAAAAACTACCCAAGCTGAGCAGCCTGCACTAGCTAGCTCTCTCCATGAGAAAGGTCCGGCTGGGCCCCAGCCCCGTGTATGACAAAAAGAAGCCGGGGCCAGCTCCGCGAGCCGGGGGAACCGCGCTGACGCAGCTTCAGGGCTCGGAGGGGGCGCGGGGTGGGGGAATCCAATCTGGACTGGCTGGGTTGGAGAAGGGGAGGCAGATGTGGGGCGTGGGGCAACTTCTGCAAGTTCCGGGTACGACGAAGTGGGCAGGGGTACCTCCCGGACTAGGCCTCGGAACCCCTGACCCCCAAACATTTTGTGAGGAGAGAGAGAGGAAGAGAGACGCAGTTTTTGCATCGCGCAGCCCCCTCCCGCTCAGGCCCAAACTGGAAGGTAAATACTTACTTAGCCTCCGAACCAGGTACAAGCTAATACTCAACAATACTGATGCCTTGTTTTTTTTGCTCTGTCCGGACCGCAACGCTGTAGCCAATTTAGATATGCTATAAATTTAAGAGGTTGCCATGGCCACGGTGCGCCCATTGGCCGACGGGCCCCCTACGTGCCGCGCCACGTCACCAAATCTGAATAAGGATGCGCGAATTACGCGGCGACCAGACAAAGATGAGGATCGGGACCGCTTGAAAGTGGGGGAAAGTGCCGGTGCCTCCGCCACCGGGGAAAGCCGCTCCGCAGCGCTGAGGCCAGCAGCCACTCGAGATACCTGGGGAAGCCCGGAACAGGCGCCGGGGCCTGCGGCCGGTGGCATGAGGTTGTGAACGCCACCACCCCCCACCCCACTCCGGGCCGCCCAGTGCCAGGCCAGCGATTGCCCAAGGACTTGACTGGCTGAGTCTTGGTCCGGACCAGACTCGCCCTGTAGCTGCTGAGACAAGAGGCGGAGGGCAGCGGAGGGCCCGGCAGGCCTGAGGGCCAGGGGCCCAAAGGGAGGGCAAGGCGGCCGGAGCCGCCGGGACGCGGGGCTATGATGGTGCACTGTGCCGGTTGCGAGCGGCCCATCCTCGACCGCTTTCTGCTGAACGTGCTGGACCGCGCGTGGCACATTAAATGTGTTCAGTGCTGCGAGTGCAAAACCAATCTTTCGGAGAAGTGCTTCTCGCGCGAGGGCAAGCTCTACTGCAAAAATGACTTCTTCAGGTAAGAGGCCGCACCGCTGCTGCCTGCGCGCTCACCCTGCGCGCACTCCACTGGGGCGCCGGGGAAGGGGAGACCCCCATACCCATCCCAGCCTCCCCTCATAACAGGCTTAGATGGGGGGCGGGCAGCACTTTGCTCTCCTCCTGTTCTCGGCCCAGGAAAGGTCCCGAGCCCAGGCGGAGGAAGAAGGACGCTGCTTTGCTGCTTCACGTTCTCTGGAGGCCGACTCAGAGCGCTGGCGGGGCAGAGGGAGGAAGCCCTGACAAACTTGCTCTCCACCCCTCTCTGCCCCTTCCCAGCGACTGCAACCCCAAGACAGGAGCTTCAAGCCCCGTCCCGACTGAGGGGAAGGATTTTTGCCTGAGTTAGAGACGCCTGGAGGCTTTTGGCTCCAGGCAGAACGTGTGAGCCGAGCAGCCGGCCGCAATCCCAAACGGAAACTTCTCAGCTCCAGAGGGGGTCCAGTGAGGAAGGTCTCCCTGGTGATGGGAGGAGAATACCTCCCCCTACTCACCTCCCAACCCCTTAAACATTTCCTCCCGTGTTGAAAAGCAGAAACGAAATAGAGGCTGACAATCAGGACCTCTGGGGCCTAGACTGGGCTGTGGCGCCTCCCCCACCCCACCCGTGTGAGCCCACCGGCTGGCCAGGGCAGATCACCTCTCTGGGCCTCAGTTTCCCCAGTCTGGAAGCCAGTGGGGTTTGGGGCAGCTGAGCCCTGCCTGTTTCCCCTGGGCACCCAGAGCCAGCTTTGTGAACAGGAATTCCCCGCGCTGAGGAAGGGGGGCGTGAATCACGCCGTAGAGAAAGGCAGCCTGCCGGCCCTGGCGACTCCGCACTGGGAATTTGAATAGGAGAAAATGTCAGCCGCTCCTTTACACGTGTAAACTCCCTGGCCCCGGAGGCCCGGTGCCCCTAATGTAGCAGTGCTTGCAAAGCGCCTAATGATTTTTGATAAGGTGCATATGGCCAATTACGCTGCCGGATAAGGCCAAAAGTGACTTACGGCTTCTAATGCCCTCACTACATCAATGTCACCCAAATTCGCCCTGTTTAGAGGCATGGGTGTGAGTAGATGTGGGGTCCCCAGAGTACTGAGTCCTCCCCCACTCCACCCCCAACCTGAGCCTCACCCATCTCCCATTTCGGGGGAGGCTAGCTTTCTCCCTGAGCTCAAAGAAGAAAGAAAAGGAATGAGATCAGGAACGCGGGAAGGAGGGATTTGAGAGATTCCTGTCCTGGCTGAGCAGGGTCTACAATTGTCTTCTATTCACATTCCCCTGCTGCCTGCCAGGCTAGAGGTTTAGTGGAGCCGAAACTCAGTCCCTGCTCTCTAGATCTGCCACTATGAGGCCCTGCTGTCCACAGCTCCTGATTAGCTCCAGCGGGTCCCAGAGTGGTGGATATTGGAAAGCCTCTCCATTGGTACTGGAAATCAGTGGAAGATTCCCTCCTTTCTGCTTCCTCCTTCCAGCCTGGGAGAAGGGCACCCCACCTCACAGCTAGGCTCAGCCAGGCAGGCAGATTGGCCCTACCTAGGCACCAGCAGACCAGAAAGGATCCAGGAGGCAAAACCACCAAGTGACCCAAACCCTGCCCGCCTGGCTTCAAATCATTCCTGGGCTCAGAGTTTGCCTGAAGCAGCCGAGGCAGGCCTGGCAGGGGTTGGGTTTGGGGGAGGACATCTTGAGATGCTCTGGGCTCTCTGCTTGGCTGAAGACTGCACCCACTGCTCCCCCCTTCCCAGCCCAGGAGAGTCTGAAAAAAACCCCAATGGAGGCATAGGAGTCTCAGACCCCAAAAACAGCTCAGGACATTTGTCCCACTTCTCCTGCTCTGGCCAGAGAGCTCAGGATTGGAGTTCCGTTTAACAGATATGGAAATGGGGACTTCACAGAAGCCAGGTTGAGGGTGGGGGAAGAGGTCAGGGGCTGGGGACGGCTGGACTGGGTCCCACCCTGCAGTGACGGGCACCTTGTGTCCACAGGCGCTTTGGCACCAAATGCGCCGGCTGCGCACAAGGCATCTCGCCCAGCGACCTGGTGCGCAAGGCCCGGAGCAAAGTCTTTCACCTCAACTGTTTCACCTGCATGGTGTGTAACAAGCAGCTGTCCACTGGCGAGGAGCTGTACGTCATCGACGAGAACAAGTTCGTGTGCAAAGATGACTACCTGAGCTCATCCAGCCTCAAGGAGGGCAGCCTCAACTCAGGTAGGAAGGCCTCCGCCCCTCACTGGCCTTAGGCCTTAACACCCTCCCTCCGTGCCCAGCCTGGCACTCCCTACTTGGCCCCCTGTGTGCTGTCTGTGCTGGGCTTAGAGCTCATCACCCCCAGGCAGCTCTAAGGCAAGGCCAGGGGGTGAGAGGCTAGAGAAGTGGCTTTGGAGACGGTTTTACAGGGGAGCTGAGGGCCACCAGCTCTTCCCCACCCTCCTCCAATTCAGGAGCCTTTTCCAAGTTTCCTTCCTCCCTTAATTTGGCACCACACAATTCACCCTCCTGTGTCATCTGAGCTCCAGGTAATTTCTAGAGGCACTGGGAGCACATTAATTGAGGTCTGGAGAAAGGAGGGAAGGGAGAGGAAGATCCGAGGCCCCAAGGGAATCTGTGCCTCCTCATCCCCTCTCCCTGAAGGCGGGAGTTCTCCAGAGGGCATGCCTATCCCCACCCTTACTCAGGTACTAGCTGAGACGCGCGGAGAGGGCTAAAGAAGAGCCCCTTCCAAAGTACGGGCCCCGCCTGGAGAGAGTGGGCGGGCACCGGGTCCCTGGGGGAGGGGCTGTCGCAGGCTTGGGAGGTAACCCAGCGGGGCCGGCCGTAGCCTGGGCCGGCGGGAACCCGCCACTGGATTGAAGAGGCGTCTGGCGGTCGCTGACGCCGCTGTCGTCCCCTTCCCGATCCGTCCGCCCGCAGTGTCATCCTGTACGGACCGCAGTTTGTCCCCGGACCTCCAGGACGCACTGCAGGACGACCCCAAGGAGACGGACAACTCGACCTCGTCGGACAAGGAAACGGCCAACAACGAGAACGAGGAGCAGAACTCGGGCACCAAGCGGCGCGGTCCCCGCACCACCATCAAGGCCAAGCAGCTGGAGACGCTCAAGGCTGCCTTCGCCGCCACGCCCAAGCCCACGCGCCACATCCGCGAGCAGCTGGCGCAGGAGACCGGCCTCAACATGCGCGTCATCCAGGTGCGGCCCGGGGCCCGCTGGCCCGGGAGCCGGGAGCCTCAGAGGAGTCTCCCGCCAAGCTTCCTTGGCTACGGGCGCGCCGGGTTCTTGTCTGGGAGCAGACCGTGCGCCCGAGGCCGGGGAGCTCGGGACACTCGCCAGAGGTCGGGGACTGTGAGCCGAAAGATTCCATCTAGCCCAGCTGTCCTCCTGGCTGTGCGATTTGGGGCGGATCGCTTTACTTCCCTGAATTTCGCGGCCGCCCTGCCCACACCCCCGCCCCCCACCCCCTTGCTCAAGGAAGGTTGTAAGCCACTCTGGGGTCCGGGATGCCTGTTTACCTCCCACGTTTTGAGCAGAGAAAGAGGCGATTCCCCCTCCCACCCTGCGCCGAAGCGCGGGCAGATAAACGGCCCGAGGCCGGCTCTGGAGCCGAGCGGCCGAGGCGAGAGCCGTGCCGGGAGGGAGACCTTTATAGAGCCGTCAGGCCGTGGGCGAGCCGACGGCCAGGAAGCCCAAGTCTTTATGAGTTGCCCCACGGGTCCGCGAAATCCTTCACCCTTGGCTGGCTCTCCACCCCTCCCGGCCTAATCCAGCCCGGCCCCGCCTCAGGGCAGTCTTGGTGCGGCAGAGGCGCAAGGACCCAGAGGGGGCAGCCCAGGCAAGGGATGGAGGAGAGGGGAGGGGAGGACACTCCGGACCCGGAGCTCACAGCCCCCTCCTCTGTCCCAGGTGTGGTTTCAGAACCGACGGTCCAAAGAACGCCGGATGAAACAGCTGAGCGCCCTGGGCGCCCGGAGACACGCCTTCTTCCGGAGTCCGCGGCGCATGCGTCCTCTGGGCGGCCGCTTGGACGAGTCTGAGATGTTGGGGTCCACCCCGTACACCTACTACGGAGGTAAGGGGCGCCCCGGGATGCGCTGCTCCGCACCTGCCCCGTTCTGGGAGCTGAGGGCTCAGGGCCCCAACCAGCGCGCTTTCCGCCGCTCCGGGACATCGCCCACTCGCTGGACGCAATCACAGACACACGTACACTCACCCACACGTTCTGGACACAAAATCAGATACATGGACTCACCCATTCAGTGATCACACGGAAGCACACACGTGATACAGTGACACACTCGCCCTCACCCCCACAGGGCACAAGGCACACTCACACTTGCGTTCAGAGACTGCAGGGACACAGGTCTAGACACGATCGCATGATCACGTACAGGTACATTCCACCCTTCCACACACAGGTACACTCACAGAGACACAAATCCACAGACGCACACACTTCTAGCAGTCACACTGAGGCCAGCACTGGCAAATCCACATGCGTGCCACCCCCACGGACAGACACACGGCCTTCCTGCAGCCCTAGCCCGGTACCTGGTGTACTTGGCATGAGGAGGATTCTGAAAGCCGGGGGGAGGTAGCTTGAGGGGAGGGGATGGGGGTCTGGATTCATTCCAAGCCGCCTGCCCACTAGCTTCGAAGGCAGGAATTCCTGTTCCCTGTGGCGGGTGTGTGCCCACAGCATCTGGCAGTGTTAGCCCAAATGCCTGCAGTTGCTCTGGGTAGGACTCTAGCCCACCCTCCAGCCCCAAACCCCGTGAGGTTCCTCCAGACTAGGGACACAAGGTTTGGGCCAACCCCAGATGTCCACCGTCTTTGGGGCTGCGGAGATCGAGGCGCCCCAGTTCACAAAGGGGTTCGGATGGTGGTACCAAGCTTGGGCCTGGGGTGAGCCGCCCCCTTGTCACCGAGATTTTCCTTCTCTCACTTCCCTCACACTGGATTGGTGAACCATCCCAACTCCTCCACTCCGTTTTTTCAGCTCCTTGCCCTGAGCCGCATTGCTTGAGCTCGCGGAGCTCACCGTCCTGTTCTTCCCAGAAGGGCAGTCTCAGTGCGGAAGAGGCGCAAGGACCCAGAGGGGTCCTTGAGTCCTCTTTCTGAGGACTCAAGAAAGCACCTCCCCTCTTCTGTTCGGAAGCTTCTGAATTTGGGGAGACCCCAGGACTGCCTATGTCTGAGAGGCATCTGCACTTCTGAGTCGCCCCTTGCCATGGGCCTATTTAGGGCCAGTAGCACAAGTTGGGGAGAGACAATTTCTCTTAGAAAGTGCGTTCAGTGGCAGTGTTGGGGAGGCAGGGGCTAGGCACCCGGGTAGACCCAGAAGGGAAGGGAAGATAACCCCATCACTGACCTCAGCACATCCGGAAGCCTGATAGGGGACTAGACCTTGAGACCCGACCGCGACCCCTAGGAATTGTGGGCAAAATGCCAGGCTGTGCTTTTTTTCAGGGCAGAGACCCCACGCAGTGGCAGGGCTCAGGCTGGAGCGCTACAGCCGCCCAACCCTGGACAGCCCCCAATCCTGGAAAGGCCCCCACCCCTGGACAGCCCCCAACCCTGGACAGTCTGGATGGTGGGCGTGTCCTCCGGGGTCTCCAGTCACCGACTCTCTCCACCTAAATTTGCCTCTTTCCCTACAAAATCTGGGCCCGGAGGAGCGAGGTGGTGGGGGCGGTACCGGCCCGGAATTTTTCCCCGCCTGGGTAATTAACCAACGTTTCCCGGAGGACCAGTTCGCCCCCTCCCCGACCTATCCCACCGCCTCCTCTCCCTGCGCGCTAAACGGGGTGGGGAGCCGGACATGGGGGCCTCTCATTCCCCGGAATGGTGAGAAGGACTCCCCAGCCCCCAGCGAGGCAGCTCCGCCTAATCCGCGCTGGGAGATCCCGGCGGTGGCGACCGGCAGCGGGCGAGAAAAGGGGCCGGGCGGCGGGGCCGGCGGCTCCCCGTGGGAGCGCGGACAAAGCCCCAGCTGCAGCTTTTGTGCCCTTTTCAGACGGCGTTTGTTCCAATTACCTCCGGCCCGGCCGCCATATGGGCGGAGGCGGCGCGCAAGGCGCCGGGGCCGCGGCCTCCGATGGTTTGCCGGCTCGCTGCGGGCCGCGGCGGTCTCCCATCCCAGTCCCTTTGGGGCTCCAAATTCGCCGCTCCCCATCTTTCCATTGACTTTCGGGGAGAATTAAATTAACGGTTTTAAAAAGTAATTGGCAACCGTTTTAGCTATTGCCTAGACTGCCTCCAAGCCACGCCTCCAGACAACCCCCCCCCCCACAATTTGGACAGATTTCAGGGTTTGGAGAGGGAAGAGGGTGGCGGCGGCATCAGGAACTCGCCCCTTGACTGAGCTCCCAGGACTCAGCAGGGAGAGTGGATTTGCAGAAGAGACTCTGGCTTCTGGACGCGCTGGTTTTCCCGCCGTACAAAGCGGGTGCCAGGTACAAGATGGTCCTTTCGTGAGGTCCCCCACGCTAGTCCTTCAGGGCCCCACCTGGTGGGGGGAGGCAGGATGTCCCGAAGGTTCTGGAAGAGGAGCTATGTGAGGAGGTCAGAGGGTTGATGCAGATTTGTTGAGGCAGAATGGGTTTGTAATCCCGAGTCCCTGCACCTCCTGAATTTGTGGGCAAAATTCACATCCTTGCATTTTCCTCGAGAGACAGCCCATAGCTATCACCAGCTTCCCAAAAGGTCTCAATGTCCTCAGATGCCTCAGAACCTGGGGGTCCTGGCAAAACCAGCCGGGGGCGATGCCGGAGGACCGAGCTTCTACCCCAACGCACGCGCGGTCTGGGCATGACCCAGAGCATTTTCTTGTCCTCCCCCTCTCTCAAGTCGCTGGAGCTCAGCTTTCTCTGTCCCAGGCCAGGCGAGGCCGGTACAAATGGTCTCACCCGGATCGACAAGGGGGGCCTTACTTGGCGAGGCGAAGTACTTGCACCGGGTTGGCGGGGCTCAGGGGCCGAGTTGCCGGCGCCGAGGCCGCGCCGCCGGGTCCACCCCACGAGTCCCTCTGTGCTCCAGCCGCCGCCCGAATCAAGCTTTCCCCGCCCAGTAGCTTCCCGGTCTCGACCATTTCGCGCTCTGCTCTGTCCGCTGCTCGGTTCCTCTCCCCGGCCTCTCAACCTCAGCTTCTCTGGCGGTTTCTGGGACTCATCTCTGATCCACCGTCTTGCGTTCTCAGGGCGCATCGACCTCTCTCCATCTTCAGGCTCACTCCTCACTCCCTCGCGGTTCGCCCCCGGGGTTTCCACGCGTGTCTCTAACCGCAGTCGTCTCACCGCTCCCTGCATCTCCTCGACTCCACCGCGACCTCCGGTCTCTCAGGCTCTCGGGTCTCAGCCGCGGACTGCGTCTCTGGGTCTCTTCCGCCTTTCCCTCTGCCCCTGTGCCGATCTCTCCGTCTGTCTCTCGCTGTCCTGCGTCTCTGTGTCTCTCACCGACTCTAAGACTCTCAGGAATCGTTCTCTGTCTCTGCGTCTCTGGCCGCCGCTGTCTCTCTCCACCTCTAGGTGTCAGGGAACCTGTGACTTTGAAATGTCCGAGTTTTCGCCACGAGTGTCCCCCACGGTCTCGGAGTCTCTCCCGTTTCTGCCCTTTCGAGATCTCTCATTGTCTCTCTCCCAACCTTACCCGTAGGTCTGCGACGTCCACCGTCTCGAGGGGCGCCGGCCTCCGCGGGTCTCTGTAACCTCGGGCTGGTGTCGCGCGCTCCCCTCTCTCGCCTGCCCGGGCCTCTGGACTTGGTCTCCACGGTCCCCTCCCCGGATCCGGGGTCTCCCGCCTCCTTCGCCTTCTCTCACCGCGCCCTCTCTTCTTCCCGCTCCCCCCCCGCAGACTACCAAGGCGACTACTACGCACCGGGAAGCAACTACGACTTCTTCGCGCACGGCCCGCCGTCGCAGGCGCAGTCCCCGGCCGACTCCAGCTTCCTGGCGGCCTCAGGGCCTGGCTCGACTCCACTGGGCGCGCTGGAGCCGCCGCTCGCTGGCCCGCACGCCGCGGACAACCCCAGGTTCACCGACATGATCTCACACCCGGACACGCCGAGCCCCGAACCGGGCCTGCCGGGCGCGTTGCACCCCATGCCGGGCGAGGTGTTCAGCGGCGGGCCCAGCCCGCCCTTCCCCATGAGCGGCACCAGCGGCTACAGCGGACCCCTGTCGCATCCCAACCCTGAGCTCAACGAGGCCGCCGTGTGGTAAGGCCGCCGGGCCGCCCCCGGCGCTCGGCCCCCGGGGGCCCCCCGCCCCGACACAGCCTCCTGAAACCAAAACGCCCGAAGTGGACGCAGTGGGAGACATGGTGTCCCTGGGGGTTCTCTCTCGGGTCCGCAGGCAACCTGCAGCTGCTCCTCGGCCCGGCGCTGAGGGCGGGGCCGACCCCCATCTCCACCCCGCGGGCTCTCCAGGAGCCCCAGCCCACCGCCAGCGCTCTCCTGGCGACGCGAGCAATTTCTTGGGACCAAAGTCAATACTCCGGAGGGTCAAGAGATTTCAAGCACGCTCTAGACTTTCCCCGGGCCCGCACCCACCCACCACCCACCGCCACCTCTTCGGACTGAGAGAGGGTGAGGCCAAGGGGTGGAGACGGTGTTTTTTCCCCTCTCTGCAATCCGAGTGGCATTTTGTAATCTTATTTCTCGCTGTACTTTCCCCGTCTTTAAAAAATAAAAAGATGATAAGAAAAGGAGAGAGAGATTGAAAGAGAGAGCGAGGAAGCGGGGGCAGGATGAGGAAGTGAGAGATGGAGAGAGCGTCAGCCAGAGGGAGAAGACGGAGAGCGAGCGAGGAACTCCCGTGAACCGGGAGCCACCGGGAGGGAGACCGAGCCACCTGCACGCTGGCGCTCCCTGGTGGCCAATCTTGAGGTTCAAGGTCGGCTTCTCTAGGAAGGGGGCTGTGGGTCAGGACGTGGCCAGCCGGGGCCAGCTCCTGCTCTTCCTTACTTTGACGTTTATGCTGAGCCCGAGGGTGCAGGTCGGACTCGAACACGCGCACATCCTGCTCTTCCCTTGGGTGAGGCGCCAAGGTTGCTGGGCTCAGACCCACAGATCACCCTCCCTGCCCGGGGCCTGGAGGCTGGGCCGTCAGGATGTACAACATTATACTTTTTTGGAAGTTGAACGCTTCTAGTTTCCTTATTTTGTATAAAGAAGAAACAAATAAAGTATGTTTTTGTGTTTACTGTTTATTTATTGTACTCTAGTTATCCGACGCTGGACATTTTTATATTTTTAAGAGGAGGTAGGGCAGAGTGAGGGAGGGGAGTCAGAGAGGTTTACCTAAAAAAAAAACAAAAACAAAAACAAAAAAAACTTTTTTAAAAAAGAAAGATTAATAAAAAAATTCTTTTTTTTCCCTCAGCGCTGTGTGGCTTTCTTTTTATTGTCCCTAGTTGGATAATGACTCAGAGCGAATAAAACCCTTTCTTTCCCTGGTTCTTGTCTCTGACATTAAGCCTCTGATGGATGCAAAAACCTCTGCTCACCCAAAGGGGGAGCTCTTCTAGTGACTCCCAGGTTCATGAAGTGGCTGTCCTCTTTTGACAGCTGCTATGTGCCAGGCCCGGTATCTCTCCATGCTTCATGTAATACCATGCTCTAATACAGGCCTGCCCAGCACATAGTAGATCTTCAGAATGTTTGACGAATGAATGAATGTGTGATTTGTTTGTTGCCAGCACATCAAAAGAATTACAGCTTCACTCCTAACTCTTCCCCCCTTGTAATTCCTGGTGGCCAAAAACAAAAAGAGCAGGCTGGTAAGCTGATGCTGGTTATCTGCAAGGCTATGTTAGGACTGAGGAGCCCCTCCCCAAAGTGGGGCCGTTGTGCTCTGCAAGTCTTATGCAGTGCATGCTTATCTTTGGGTAAAGGCATGAGGGAAAGAAGGCCAAGTGAGATTTAGGAGGCCTGAGGCCACCACCTAAAACGAGTCACTCTCTTTTTTTGCCTCAGTTTCCCTACTTGCAAAAGCAGGGGTTGGAGAGGGTGCTTCCTACATGTCCTTCCAACTCAATTGTCTGTAATCCCAGCACTTTGGGAGGCCAAGGCAGGTGGATCACCTGAGGCCAGGAGTTTGAGACCAGCCTGGCCAACATGGTGAAACCCCGTCTCTACTAAAAATACAAAAATTAGCCAGATGTGGTGGCAGGAGCCTGTAATCCCAGCTACTTGGGAGGCTGAGACAGGAGAATAGCCTGAACCTGGTAGGCGGAGGTTGCAGGGAGTCAGGATTGCATCGCTGCACTCTAGCTTGAGCGACAGAGCAAGACTCAGTCTCAAAAGAAAAAGAAAACAAGAAAGAAAAGAAAGGCAGGAGAGGAGAGGGAGGTAAAAATAAATGGAAGAGTGTCCTGCATTGGGATGACTCTTCGCCCAAGCTTGGGCTGAAGGAAGCTGGCCTATTGTAGCTGCAGGAGGGGAAGGTCGGGGAATGAACCACCATGGGACAGGCACATGCTCAGAGCCCCACTCTTCTGCCCTTCTTCTTTATGCGTTCCTCACAAGAACCATGCAAAGCAGCTTGCCTTTTTCTTTTCTTTCTTTATCACACATTTGTCTTTATCAGACCAATGCTACTTGCTCGTGGAAAATTTAGAAATCTCAGATAAACAAAAGGAAGAAAATGTCACCACCCAGAATTTCAAGCACTATGGAAATGTAGTTGATGCATTTTCTTTCAGACTTCTTTTTTCTTTCTTTCTTTTTTCAATTTTGAAACTAGAGATCGTACCCTGTACTCAACATGTGGTCATCTGCTCTGGTTCACTCAGCAATAGCTTCCAGATGTATAAACTGATCTTCGTAGACAGAGCTCTGTCATTCCATGTAATCACTGCTTAAAGTTCCCTTGAATGGCTGAGCCACGCTTTTTTGGTTTTTGTTTTATTTTAAACCAATTCTATTGTTGGATGTTTGGGTTCATTTCCAAGGTTTCACCACTTTAAGCCACATTGGAATATCCTTGCAGTTGAATATCCTTGGAAGTTTATCAGGGTAGGTATGATTGGCCCTCTTGGGGTACTCTGAGAGGTTGAGGGACTGGCCCAAGGTCACACAGCTGGGAAATGGAAAAGCTGGGATTCAAATCCATGTATTGGGTTGTGTTTCTACTTCCCTATGGTGCCCTAATTGTAATGGATTCTAGAGGCCAAGAGAGAATCTGCAAGGTGGTCCTCATCTCTGGCAGGTTCCTGAATGCTTTCTGGGCATGTATGAACTTTGCAGAAGGGCTCACTTAGAACTTGCACCAGAGTGAGATGGGGAAGCGAAGCCAGGGGAGGACAGGACCCATCCCCTCCTCAAACAGGGTTGTAACAGGGAGATAGAGGTCGGGGAGAGAAGGGAGGGAAGAGCGGTGAAAGAGAGAAAAAGGAGGGGAGGGAGGCAGGAGAAAAGGAAGGAAGAAGGAAGAGAGGAAGAGGAGGATAAGGGAGAAAAGTTAGGAAGAGGGAGGGGGAGATGACAGCTGTGACAGGTCACCTCCTGCTTATGCTCCATGGTGTCCGGGGACCCCTAGCCCCTACCAAATAGGACACTTAGACCCAGAGGTGTCCATCAGTGAAGGCAGCAGAGTGAAGCAACAGGATGAGAAGTCACAGTACAATCAAGCCCTCTGCCCCTTCCTCCAGCTACAGTCACACACGGACACACACACACACACACACGCACCAGCCAGACATGTATGGGCCCACACAGTGTGCACTTACACGTGCAGATATGTGTACACGAACATATACAGATCCATGCTCACAGCCACACGGATACACACACACACAACCAGCCACATGGACACACAGCTGTGCGTGCACACAGAGACACATACAAATACAGACAAGGGCACAACGGTAGGTGCAGACATCTACATACATGTGTATACACATGCACATTAACACATAGACACCCACAAGCTTGTGCACACAAATGCACACATCTACAATGTCCTTGCACACATGCTAACACACATGTACACAGAATATATACCTGGTCCTCGGATGCTCATAGCTTCCGTCTGGAAGAGCCAGGAGAGAAAAAATCCCCCACTTTATGTCAGGAGACTTAAATAACCCTGGAGTGGCCCCATCAACATCTCTGAGGGTGGCTCCAGAAGCCAGGTTCCAGGAGAGGTGCCGTGAGTTCTGCATGATCGGTACTTGGGACACACTCCCCATCGGCCCTTCCTCTGAGTGTTCACAAAGTGAAGAGGGTTGGGAGCCTAGGTCACCCAGGAATGGGACAGAGGCAGGATGGAGCCGGGGCTCTGGGAACCAGGACACTACCTGACTGAGGAACTGGACGTTGGTCACTGTGTCGCCTTTCTGGTCACTATGTCCCCTTTCTGGGCCTCAGTTTGCTCACCGTGAAATGGATTCACATCATTTCCTCCACAGGGTGTGGTGAGGATGGAGAAGTGACCCAGCCTGTGTTAGGAAGTCTAGGGCCTGGGTTCCATCCCCATCTCTCTCTCTCTCTCTGTCTCTCTCTCTCTCTCTCTCTCTCTCTCACACACACACACACACACACACACACACACACACACACACGCCAGCTTCCATGGAGGGTGACAAGAGGAGAGGGAGGGCCTGACTCACACAGAGTTCACTGCCACTCCCGTGAGCTCATTTTAACTCCCCGGGTGCTTTCTGGACCCACGGCTCTGGGAGGAGACATCCCACCCCACCCCACCACGCACAGCGCCCTGCACGTGGACAGTATTGGTGCTGGGTGCCCAGCGTTAAGGAGGCAGTTCCTGAGAAAGGCTGGGTGGGGAAGGGGAGCCACTGGGAAAGGGTGATTGTCCTGCAGCATCCACAACCATTTTCTCAAAGTATGGTCACAGGTGAGTGTTAACTACAAATCTCAGCCCCAGGTCCCACCACTTATGGCTGGAATTGTCCTCTGGAATGGAGCCCAAAGTGGTTCACATTTAGCTCCCCAAAAGATTCTGGCACCTCCCTTACCAGACCACAGTTAGCGTGATGCTGCCTGTCTCCAAACCCACCAACCAGTGTCTCATCTAATCCTCACAACGTCCCTTCAAGATTAGCATTGTTCTTCCCACTTTGCAGATGAAGAGACTGAGGCCCTAGAGGTGAAGTGAGCTGACCAAGGTCACACAGCCTGGGAGTGGCAGAGCCAGGTTTTGAATCGAGAACTTTTGCCATAAGAGCCCACATTGTCCCTAGGCCCAGGACACAGACCAGTGTAACTACATGAATGAATGAACGAACGAATGAATGAATAAAATTCATCTGCTGTAAAAAGGGATTCTTTTAAAAAGGGCTTCCTGAATACTAATTCTTACTGATAGCAACCTCGCTGGCTTTTGTTAAAACCCCCTCCCAGGTTAAACAAAGCTAGCCAGAAGAGCAGAGGGCATCGTGAACATTGCCAAGGTCAGCAGACACGGGACGTCTGGTTTCTCCATGTTCGCCCTCCCTTTCCTCCCCCATCAATGTATCTGCTCATCTCCTTCTATCTTCATCGCCTGTATTTATTATCTCTTAAAAATAAAAGATTTCTGAGAGGAAAAAAACATCCCAGGGCAGACAGGTAAAGGCAAGCCCGGCTGTCCCGCCAGTGCCCTCTAGCACTGGGAAAAAGAGGGACCTCGCCTGTCCCCTTGCTGCCCCTCAGCTATAATTCTGGCCAACACCAGCCAGTTAAGCCACACGTACTCCAGCCCCCATCATGCATGCTCCTCCAGTCCCTGTCCCTGTCCTCCTGCCCCAAAATATACACCCCGAAGAGCACGAGGACAGACCCACTGTGCTTAGGACTAATATTTAAAATGCAGAATGGCTGTGGAGGGCGCCTGCTCCCAAGCCTTGTCGCGCAGTAAAAAGATATAAACAGAATAAATTACCTCTCCAGCTTGGATTATGAGAATACCCCTCTCCTGACCGGAATTTTAAGTCCTGCCTCCCTCGTCGCGCTGCACACGGCTGATTTATGGAAACTCGAGCACCTCTCTGCATATTTCTTCTGTTCAGCCAAGTGACCAAGTTTACCCTTCCTATGCCATTAGCGTTATTAACACCTGGGTAACCGATCATTGCAAATGGGCCATTTCTGTGATGAACGGAAACCTCTCCAGCCGCTTCTCCAGGGCAGCACCACCTCTGGCCTCCTCTTTCTGAATTTTGTGCTAGAGCTCAGAACCATCCTCACCTGCCTCTGCCCCCAGCACCTGCTGATGGGTTCCTGGGGGCTTGGGAAGGAAATGTCTCACGAGTAGGTGCTCGTGGCTTTCTGGCAAGCACACAGGAAGTGACACCACTGCTGGTGTTCATTTATTCAGAGAATTGACCAGGGAATGAAACTGACGCTCAATGGGGGCATAGAGTAGCCTAAAGTCCCAC